ATGAAAAAACTCTAGTGCAGACTAGACCAAAGTCTAGTAAGAGTATGTTCGTTATTGTGGTAGTATTCAGATTATGTGGTATGTTTTGACATGTGTAATTCCTTCCCTTTATCTTTGCTGTAGTTGTTTACACTTCTGTTTTGATTTGCATATTGCATTTTGAAGGAAATTATTTTAATGTGTCAAACTCTTTGACCAAATGCACATTTTCTAAAATGTTGTGTCCTTGATAAAAACAAATTAAAAAAAAAATTGAAGAATTTCTTTTTAAGGTGCAAAATATAATTTGTTTAATGCTGCAGCAATTATACAGATATGAAATTTCTTTCTTAGAGGTGTCAGTCCTTGAAAATTCTCCTCCTAATACTTTCTTTGCAATCATGAGATTTAGGACAATCTTAGACTGTCTCTTGGTATGTTTTACTAATCAAATGCAGAAGTTGATAAATGTTCAAATCCTCACTTCACTTTGAGTCGACTTAATGCCTATTAAAAAGAATCATGACAAATGGAGGATTAGTTCTTGTGCCAGCTTGGGGATTATTATTAAAAGAAATAGCTTGGAAGGGTTCACTGTTTAATAAATTATGTGACATACTGAAGTACCTTAGTCCATATGATACTGATTACGGTATAAGTGTTCTTTAAGATGGCATCTATCTTTCCATTATGAATGCTGGATTTACAGAATCTGCCAATAACCAGTCCAGCTTTTTGTTTTAAATTCTGGAAAACTGATAGGGGGAATTCCATGTCACAGGTGTTGCATGGTCAAATACTGCAGATCTTGTTGCAGCACTGAAATTTTTGTGTTTTCCTTTTGATTTAAGGTGGAAGGAGAAAGGAGATTGAGTTCACTTTCGTATCAGGCTTGTTCTTAAAAATCTTAAAAATGCGAAGAACCAAAATGTAACTCTTGAATTTCATTTTTCTATAATTTCATATGTTTTCAAAATAATCTCAAACCTTGTAATTAAAAATAGGTTTCTCATGACTATTCTTAGTGGACTTAAAATTAATGATTGAACAGGTTTGTACTCTGCATTTTGGATTTTTTTAGTATCCTGCAATAGGTGCCTTAAAAATAACCTTAGATTTTGAAATGTGAGATTTTTACTAAACAAAGCCCTGAAACATAATAAAACACATGAAGTGGCCTGCTTTTCTTATATCAGCTGATACCTATGCATGTAATAAATGCTAGGTAAAGCTTCTGTTGAATTGGTGAGAGTCTGTCTTTCCTTATAAAATAACAAGTTTTTGTCTGGTGAAGTGATTGTTAAGTGTTGGCAGTGGTTCTGTTCAGTAAAACATTTTGTTTAATTTGATGGAAATAAAGAAAAATTGATGCTACGTGTATAAATTTCACTATTTAAGCTGCTTTCTTCAGGATGCTCTGTAAGGATAGCGAGTGTGAACCCCAGCTCACTGAGGAGGAAGCTGATAAACACAGGGTACTGAGTGGGGGCTCAGGGACAATATAAATCAGAATAAGAATTAGAAGTTTGCAGCACACCAAATGGTCAGTGTCCTGGTTTTAGGTGCAGGCTTTTTCATGCATGTTTTTCTTTAAAGCTTTGACTACTGGAGTTGTACTGAATGTCATTTTTATTTAAAAAAACCAAACCCTAACGGAAGGTCTTCATGATTCAAAGAAAAGCTGGAAAGTCAGATGGGAGAGTAGTCTGTGAATACAGATAAAAGCAGTTGTGATTTGTTGTAATTAATTTTTTTTAGTCTGTCTTATCACTCCTAGGAATTGCAGCTCTGAATCCTTCAGATCTGCTAAACACCTATGTGTATGTCTCTTGGCAACACATTCAGAATATGTGTTTATTTATGCATTTGGA